CTGCTGCCAAGTCCAGAGTCTCTCATGGGTCCCTGTACGGCCTCCCATTGCTGCTGTCTCCATCGCCACACTCTGCTGCCATGTGCCCACTTTCAGGTCTCTTCACACTGCTGGTGTGTTAAATTTTTTGACATAGGGTGCAGGCAGATTACGGGCCTCACATAGCTGCTGCCAGGCCCCTAATCTGCTGCCATGGGCCCCTATATACCGCCTCCTCATGCTGCTGCCAAGTCCAGAGTCTCTCATGGGTCCCTGTACGGCCTCCCATTGCTGCTGTCTCCATCGCCACACTCTGCTGCCATGTGCCACTTTCAGGTCTCTTCACACTGCTGGTGTGTTAAATTTTTTTGACATAGGGTGCAGGCAGATTACGGGCCTCACATAGCTGCTGCCAGGCCCCTAATCTGCCATGGGCCCCTATATACCCGCCTCCTCATGCTGCTGCCAAGTCCAGAGTCTCTCATGGGTCCCTGTACGGCCTCCCATTGCTGCTGTCTCCATCGCCACACTCTGCTGCCATGTGCCACTTTCAGGTCTCTTCACACACTGCTGGTGTGTTAAATTTTTTGACATAGGGTGCAGGCAGATTACGGGCCTCACATAGCTGCTGCCAGGCCCCTAATCTGCCATGGGCCCCTATATACCGCCTCCTCATGCTGCTGCCAAGTCCAGAGTCTCTCATGGGTCCCTGTACGGCCTCCCATTGCTGCTGTCTCCATCGCCACACTCTGCTGCCATGTGCCACTTTCAGGTCTCTTCACACTGCTGGTGTGTTAAATTTTTTGACATAGGGTGCAGGCAGATTACGGGCCTCACATAGCTGCTGCCAGGCCCCTAATCTGCCATGGGCCCCTATATACCGCCCTCCTCCTGCTGCTGCCAAGTCCAGAGTCTCTCATGGTCCCTGTACGGCCTCCCATTGCTGCTGTCTCCATCGCCACACTCTGCTGCCATGTGCCACTTTCAGGTCTCTTCACACTGCTGGTGTGTTAAATTTTTTGACATAGGGTGCTGCAGATTACGGGCCTCACATAGCTGCTGCCAGGCCCCTAATCTGCCATGGGCCCCTATATACCCGCCTCCTCATGCTGCTGCCAAGTCCAGAGTCTGTCATGGTCCCTGTACGGCCTCCCATTGCTGCTGTCTCCATCGCCACACACTCTGCTGCCATGTGCCACTTTCAGGTCTCTTCACACTGCTGGTGTGTTTAAATTTTTTGACATAGGGTGCAGGCAGATTACGGGCCTCACATAGCTGCTGCCAGGCCCCTAATCTGCCATGGGCCCCTATATACCGCCTCCTCACCTCCTCATGCTGCTGCCAGTCCAGAGTCTCTCATGGGTCCCTGTACGGCCTCCCATTGCTGCTGTCTCCATCGCCACACTCTGCTGCCATGTGCCACTTTCAGGTCTCTTCACACTGCTGGTGTGTTAAATTTTTTGACATAGGGTGCAGGCAGATTACGGGCCTCACATAGCTGCTGCCAGGCCCCTAATCTGCCATGGGCCCCTATATACCGCCTCCTCATGCTGCTGCCAAGTCCAGAGTCTCTCATGGTCCCTGTACGGCCTCCCATTGCTGCTGTCTCCATCGCCACACTCTGCTGCCATGTGCCACTTTCAGGTCTCTTCACACTGCTGGTGTGTTAAATTTTTTGACATAGGGTGCAGGCAGATTACGGGCCTCACATAGCTGCTGCCAGGCCCCTAATCTGCCATGGGCCCCTATATACCGCCTCCTCCTGCTGCTGCCAAGTCCAGAGTCTGTCATGGGTCCCTGTACGGCCTCCCATTGCTGCTGTCTCCATCGCCACACTCTGCTGCCATGTGCCACTTTCAGGTCTCTTCACACTGCTGGTGTGTTAAATTTTTTGACATAGGGTGCAGGCAGATTACGGGCCTCACATAGCTGCTGCCAGGCCCCTAATCTGCCATGGGCCCCTATATACCGCCTCCTCATGCTGCTGCCAAGTCCAGAGTCTGTCATGGTCCCCTGTACGGCCTCCCATTGCTGCTGTCTCCATCGCCACACTCTGCTGCCATGTGCCACTTTCAGGTCTCTTCACACTGCTGGTGTGTTAAATTTTTTTTTTGATAGGGTGCAGGCAGATTACGGGCCCTCACATAGCTGCTGCCAGGCCCCTAATCTGCCATGGGCCCCTATATACCGCCTCCTCATGCTGCTGCCAAGTCCAGAGTCTGTCATGGTCCCTGTACGGCCTCCCATTGCTGCTGTCTCCATCGCCACACTCTGCTCTGCTGCCATGTGCCACTTTCAGGTCTCTTCACACTGCTGGTGTGTTAAATTTTTTGACATAGGGTGCAGGCAGATTACGGGCCTCACATAGCTGCTGCCAGGCCCCTAATCTGCCATGGGCCCCTATATACCGCCTCCTCATGCTGCTGCCAAGTCCAGAGTCTCTCATGGGTCCCTGTACGGCCTCCCATTGCTGCTGTCTCCATCGCCACACTCTGCTGCCATGTGCCACTTTCAGGTCTCTTCACACTGCTGGTGTGTTAAATTTTTTGACATAGGGTGCAGGCAGATTACGGGCCTCACATAGCTGCTGCCAGGCCCCTAATCTGCCATGGGCCCCTATATACCCGCCTCCTCATGCTGCTGCCAAGTCCAGAGTCTCTCATGGTCCCTGTACGGCCTCCCCCATTGCTGCTGTCTCCATCGCCACACTCTGCTGCCATGTGCCACTTTCAGGTCTTCACACACTGCTGGTGTGTTTAAATTTTTTTGACATAGGGTGCAGGCAGATTACGGGCCTCACATAGCTGCTGCCAGGCCCCTAATCTGCCATGGGCCCCTATATACCGCCTCCTCATGCTGCTGCTGCCCAGGTCCAGAGTCTGTCATGGGTCCCTGTACGGCCTCCCATTGCTGCTGTCTCCATCGCCACACTCTGCTGCCATGTGCCACTTTCAGGTCTCTTCACACACTGCTGGTGTGTTAAATTTTTTGACATAGGGTGCAGGCAGATTACGGGCCTCACATAGCTGCTGCCAGGCCCCTAATCTGCCATGGGCCCCTATATACCGCCTCCTCATGCTGCTGCCAAGTCCAGAGTCTGTCATGGGTCCCTGTACGGCCTCCCATTGCTGCTGTCTCCATCGCCACACTCTGCTGCCATGTGCCACTTTCAGGTCTCTTCACACTGCTGGTGTGTTAAATTTTTTGACATAGGGTGCAGGCAGATTACGGGCCTCACATAGCTGCTGCCAGGCCCCTAATCTGCCATGGGCCCCTATATACCGCCTCCTCCTCATGCTGCTGCCCAAGTCCAGAGTCTGTCATGGGTCCCTGTACGGCCTCCCATTGCTGCTGTCTCCATCGCCACACTCTGCTGCCATGTGCCACTTTCAGGTCTCTTCACACTGCTGGTGTGTGTAAAATTTTTTGACATAGGGTGCAGGCAGATTACGGGCCTCACAGCTAGCTGCCAGGCCCCTAATCTGCCATGGGCCCCTATATACCGCCTCCTCATGCTGCTGCCAAGTCCAGAGTCTGTCATGGTCCCTGTACGGCCTCCCATTGCTGCTGTCTCCATCGCCACACTCTGCTGCCATGTGCCACTTTCAGGTCTCTTCACCTGCTGGTGTGTTAAATTTTTTGACATAGGGTGCAGGCAGATTACGGGCCTCACATAGCTGCTGCCAGGCCCCTAATCTGCCATGGGCCCCTATATACCGCCTCCTCCTGCTGCTGCCAGGTCCAGAGTCTCTCATGGTCCCTGTACGGCCTCCCATTGCTGCTGTCTCCATCGCCACACTCTGCTGCCATGTGCCACTTTCAGGTCTCTTCACACTGCTGGTGTGTGTTAAATTTTTTGACATAGGGTGCTGCAGATTAACGGGCCTCACATAGCTGCTGCCAGGCCCCTAATCTGCCATGGGCCCCTATATACCCGCCTCCTCATGCTGCTGCCAAGTCCAGAGTCTGTCATGGGTCCCTGTACGGCCTCCCATTGCTGCTGTCTCCATCGCCACACTCTGCTGCCATGTGCCACTTTCAGGTCTCTTCACACTGCTGGTGTGTTTAAATTTTTTGACATAGGGTGCAGGCAGATTACGGGCCCCATAGCTGCTGCCAGGCCCCTAATCTGCCATGGGCCCCTATATACCGCCTCCTCATGCTGCTGCCAAGTCCAGAGTCTGTCATGGGTCCCTGTACGGCCTCCCATTGCTGCTGTCTCCATCGCCACACTCTGCTGCCATGTGCCACTTTCAGGTCTCTCACACACTGCTGGTGTGTTTAATTTTTTGACATAGGGTGCAGGCAGATTACGGGCCTCACATAGCTGCTGCCAGGCCCCTAATCTGCCATGGGCCCCTATATACCGCCTCCTCCTGCTGCTGCCAAGTCCAGAGTCTGTCATGGGTCCCTGTACGGCCTCCCATTGCTGCTGTCTCCATCGCCACACTCTGCTGCCATGTGCCACTTTCAGGTCTCTTCACACTGCTGGTGTGTTAAATTTTTTGACATAGGGTGCTGGCAGATTAACGGGCCTCACATAGCTGCTGCCAGGCCCCTAATCTGCCATGGGCCCCTATATACCGCCGCCTCCTCATGCTGCTGCCAAGTCCAGAGTCTGTCATGGGTCCCTGTACGGCCTCCCATTGCTGCTGTCTCCATCGCCACACTCTGCTGCCATGTGCCACTTTCAGGTCTCTCACACTGCTGGTGTGTTAAATTTTTTGACATAGGGTGCTGGCAGATTACGGGCCTCCATAGCTGCTGCCAGGCCCCTAATCTGCCATGGGCCCCTATATACCGCCTCCTCATGCTGCTGCCAAGTTCAGAGTCTGTCATGGGTCCCTGTACGGCCTCCCATTGCTGCTGTCTCCATCGCCACACTCTGCCATGTGCCACTTTCAGGTCTCCTCACACTGCTGGTGTGTTGAATTTTTTGACATAGGGTGCTGGCAGATTACGGGCCTCCTATAGCTGCTGCCAGGCCCCTAATCTGCCATAAGCCCCTATATACCGCCTCCTCATGCTGCTGCCAAGTCCAGAGTCTGTCATGGGTCCCTGTACGGCCTCCCATTGCTGCTGTCTCCATCGCCACACTCTGCCATGTGCCACTTTCAGGTCTCACACACACTGCTGTGTGTGAATTTTTTGACATAGGGTGCTGGCAGATTACGGGCCTCCTATAGCTGCTGCCAGGCCCCTAATCTGCCGTAGGCCCCTATATACCCCCCTCCTCATGCTGCTGCCCAGGTCCAGAGTCTCTCATGGGTCCCTGTACGGCCTCCCATTGCTGCTGTCTCCATCGCCACACTCTGCTGCCATGTGCCACTTTCAGGTCTCCTCACACTGCTGGTGTGTTCCATTTTTTGTCATAGGGTGCTGGCAGATTATGGGCCTCCCATAACTGCTGCCAGGCCCCTAATCTGCCATGGGCCCCTATACCGACTCCTCATGCTGTGACGTTGCAACAAGGTGGAATTCAACCCTACATATGTTAGACCGCCTTTACGAACAGCAAAAGGCCATCACAGATTTCCTGATGTTAAAAGCAGATAAAGGTACTCCCTGTGTAAATTAGATGTCAGCCATTGGCAGCTCATGCGTGACACCTGCGCTTGCTCAGGCCCTTTGAGGAGGCCACGCTATTCGTGAGTCGGCAGGACTATGGGATGAACGACGTCATTCCTCTGTTGCACGTCCTGGAACAAATGCTGTTAACAATGGCTGGTCAGGGTGCGGTAGACGTGGCGCACAGATCTCAACGCCACATGGCCCCTGTGGGGGCAGGACTGGAAGAAGAGGAGGAGGTAGAGGAGGACATTGGTGCTCAGGAATTATTGAGTGAAATGGGTGGTTTTTCCACTCAGCGGACAGGAGTGGAGGAGCAGGAGCATCTGGTAGAGGAGGAGGAGAGGAGACAGAGGACCTAGACGCACCGTGGCAGTATGCTGTGGAGATGGAGGCAGGGAGTCCCTCGCATTCCTTGGCACAAATGGCCCATAGCATGCTCGGTTGCTTGCGTAGCGACAGCCGAATAATAACCATCAGACAGAGGGATGACTTTTTGTGTCCACCTTGTTGGACCCTCGCTACCGTTCAAAAATGGTGGCCTTTTTCACACCTGCTGAGAGGGAGGCCAAAATAACGTACTATAAAAAAACACCTATGTAGTCAGCTGGTCTCTGCCTGTCTGCGCCAACGTCCATCCTCAGACACTGTGGGCCCTGTGCGCTCGTGTTCCGCTGCCATGGCAGCAGGGGAGGGGTGGGGGGTAGGAGCAGTGGCAGCTCCACCAGCAGCGGCTGCCTCAGTCTGCAGTCGATGATGATGAGTAGCTTTCTTCACCAGCGCAGTGAGGAAACTACTAACCAGCCGCAGCAGCAGCAGCAGCATCAGGTGGACCTGGAGCAGGACCTCAAACAACAGGCTTAGGCCTACTTGGACAGCACCCTGCCAACCGAGGTAGACAATCCCCTTGACTACTGGGCAACGAAACTTGACCTTTGGCCCCAACTAGCTGCTGAATTTGCCCTTGAAAGGCTGTCATGCCCGGCCAGTAGCGTGGCATCGGAGCGCGTGTTTAGTGCGGCAGGAGGTATTGCAACTCCGCGGAGGACACGACTGTCCACCCAAAGTGTGGAGAGACTCACGTTTGTGAAAATGAATCAGGCGTGGATTAGTCTGGATTTCAAACCACCAGTTCCTGACACAACTGACTAAATCCGCCATGAATCATGCCCCAAACATGTGCCACTTTCAGGTCTCCTCACACTGCTGGTGTGTTCCATTTTTTGTCATAGGGTGCTGGCAGATTACGGGCCTCCCATAGCTGCTGCCAGGCCCCTAATCTGCCATGGGCCCCTATACCGCCTCCTCATGCTGCTGCCAAGTCCAGAGTCTCTCATGGGTCCCTGTACGGCCTCCCATTGCTGCTGCCTCCATCGCCCACACTCTGCCATGTGCCACTTTCAGGTCTCCTCACACTGCTGGTGTGTTCCATTTTTTGTCATAGGGTGCTGGCAGATTACGGGCCTCCCATAGCTGCTGCCAGCCCCTAATCTGCCATGGGCCCCTATACCGCCTCCTCATGCTGCTGCCAGGTCCAGAGTCTCTCATGGGTCCCTGTACGGCCTCCCATTGCTGCTGTCTCCATCGCCACACTCTGCCATGTGCCACTTTCAGGTCTCCTCACACTGCTGGTGGGTTCCATTTTTTGTCATAGGGTGCTGGCAGATTACGGGCCTCCCATAGCTGCTGCCAGGCCCGTAATCTGCCATGGGCCCCCGTACCGACTCCTCATGCTGCTGCCAGGCCCGTAATCTGTCATGGGCCACTGTTGTCGCTTGTTGGCATATTCCGCTCGTTCAGATGCTCCTTCTCCTGCTACTCCTCTCTTCACGGATTCCGTCAGCAGTCTTTCTTGGAATCCGTTTCCAAGAGACAACAGTTTGCGAGCACGCACCAATGCCAAGCGTCCTCCTGCTCCAAGTTGCTGCTGCCAGGCTCTGTAAATCCGTTCCAAGAGACAACATGTGTCATGCGCCCCCCCTGTGAACCCTCCTCCAAGTCTGCTGCCAGCTCGTAATCTGTCATGCGCCCCTGTACCGCCTCCTCATGCTGCTGCCCAGGTCCAGAGTGTGTCATGGGCCCCCGTACCGACTCCTCATGCTGCTGCCAGGCCCGTAATCTGTCATGGGCCCCTGTACCGCCTCCCCATGCTGCTGCCAGGTCCAGAGTGTGTCATGGGTCCCTGTACGGCCTCCCATTGCTGCTGCCAGGCCCGTAATCTGCCATGGGCCCCTGTACCGACTCCTCATGCTGCTGCCAGGCCCGTAATCTGTCATGGGCCCCTGTACCGCCTCCTCATGCTGCTGCCAGGTCCAGAGTGTGTCATGGGTCCCTGTACGGCCTCCCATTGCTGCTGTCTCTATCGCCACACTCTGCCATGTGCCACTTTCAGGTCTCCTCACACTGCTGGTGGTTTCCATTTTTGTCATAGGGTGCTGTATGGCCTCCCATTGCTGCTGCCTCCACCGCCACACTGTGGCTCCACACTCTGGTTTTGGCCCCGTGACTGCCCAAATGAGTGAAGTGTGCGGTGATTCTAAGATCGACGGCACTCATCTGCATGTCATACTGACTGACAGTATTATTTCTCTTCCCCAGCAGACTCCAAGGGCATTTAAATTAAAGGTACAGTGTTCTGCACTAATATTAAGTCTCTCTGAAGCCTAGAAACACCCTTTTTTAAGTTAAATTCACAGCGAATTTATTCGACTCGAATCGAATATTGTCCACGAATTCGCCGAATCAGTCGAATCGAATTTTTCATTTCTTCGCTCATCTCGGTCACCTCCTCACCCCCAAGCCTGTGATTGCTGTTGCTGCCGCCATTGTTTCACCTCCTGGCACCTTTCTTCCATCTCCTTCCCTTTGCCAAAAACCGGTGCCCCCCATTCCCCAGCTAAATACCCAAGGATTTGTATTTCTGGCCTCTGCCACACAATACCTTCACCCTCGTGACCTAACACTTTTTTTACTACAGTCCAGCAATATATCCTGGTCACTTCTCCACCTCCAGTCTGTGATTGGATAGTGAGCAGTGGCGGACTGACCATTTGGAAACTCGGGAATTGCCCGAGGGCCTGGGGTCAGTAGGGGGCCCCATGGGATGCCCCTAGTACCTTTTTTCATAGGCTTTTTTGAGTTTGGGCAAGGACACAGGGGCCCCATGATCCCCTATTGCCCGGGGGCCCCATGAGTTGTCAGTCCGCCCCTTGATAGTGAGAGAGCAGCAATTCACCCCTCTGCTCTCTCCTCCAATCAAAATGATTCTTGTTTGCACATGATCGTGCAACATACCTGATTGGGCCCCTTGGTTTGCTCCTCCCCTTTTCAAGTTGAATGCTGCTATGCAGCGGCTGATATCAGGACAGATGCAAGTACATGCAGCAGCTGCATTTAAGGGCATAGTCCATCTTTGGCAAAATGCACCAACAATGATGTAATTAAATGAACATTTGCTAGATCTCTGCATTGAAGCCTGCAGAGCACTGCAACCACAATCAGTGCAATGTACTGGCTCTATTAGAGCTTGTTCACACTTGCTTTGGTCTCTGAAGACCCCTGTACATTCAGATCACTCTTCAGAGATTATTTCACAGGTGGTGAGGAGGCTTTCTCACTGCCTGCTTTAACTCCTTGAACCCCGCACTACCACACTGCACGTGGTTGTGGGGTACCTGCACCATTCACCTGAGCTGTGAAAGGGACAGGGGATATAATTCCTGCTGCATCATGGCCATGGAATGTGTACCCCCCCAGCTGGTACCCCTGTAGCTAAATTGGGAGTAGTTGTGGGGAGGTAAAAATGAAAGCCAACCTTGGGTTTTTACTGCCCATCAACTACTAGTGTGAACGAGCCCTGAATGTTTGTACGGCGTATGGACCTGGCTGGAGGGAGTCCCAGTGAACCACAGAGTGGCAAGGGAGAAGGGATCTCCAGTGCGCTCCCTCTATCGGGGTGGTGGCAAAGAAACTTGTGGTCTTTGTCAGAAAATTACCCCTGGCCTACATAACATAGCTGTGTGGTCGAAGACATACAAAAAGTTTGGGTTTTGGTGTCGGTATTTTATATCATAATTTATAGTATACCCTTAATATACACTCACCGGCCACTTTATTAGGTCCACCTGCTCAATAGCTTGGTAACACAAATTGCTAATCAGCCAATCACATGGAAACAACTCAATGTATTTAGGCATCTAGACGCAGTTAAGACGACTTGCTGAAGTTCAAACCGAGCATCAGAATGGGGAAGAAAGGGGATTTAAGTGACTTTGAACAAGGCATGGTTGTTGGTACCAGATGGGCTTGTCTGAGTACTTCAAAAACTGCTGATCTACAGGGATTTTCGGCATGGCTGGAAAATGGCCCTGAGAAGCCTGCACCCTAGGGTGTGTGTCAGAACATGACTCATTGTAATGGTGAAAAATGTGAGTGGGTACCAGTGCGGTTAACTTTCTGAGCCAACTGAAAAATGGAGGGCAAAAACAAAACAACCCAAAAATAATAAAAAAAAAATAGAAAAAAAAATAAAAGTGCAGGAGGGGAAAGTCAAGAGTGGAAGGATAAAGGGGGAGGAAGAGAGGCGAGGGGAGGGAGGGATGGGAGAGAGGTGAGGGGAAGCAGGGTCGGACTGACCATTTGGAAACTTGGGCACTGCACGAGGGCCTGGGGTCAGTAGGGGACCCCATGAGATGCCCCTGGTACCTTTTTATTGGCTTTTTCTTAGGCTTTTTTGGGTGTGGGCAAGGACACAGGGGCCCCATAATCCCCTATTGCCCGGGGGCCCATGAGATGTCAGTCCACCCCTGAGGGGAAGGGGTGGGAGAAGAGCACTTTGGAACGCCTTACCAGCCTAATGTCTCAGTCCTACAGTAGAGGGAAGGGAAAAGGAAGGAGGGGATACTCTGTTCTTCTTTCATGAGTTGACTATGATTTGTTTCATGGCTGGAAAAAAGATGTGATACTATTTTTGGTTGGTAGGTTGTTAGACCTTTTGTTCCATCATGGCGTAGGGCTGCCCAAGGGTCCTTTGGTATGATCATAGTAGAATAATGCAGTATTCTGAAATCCAATACCAGAATTTAAAGTTAATGTAAATTTATTCAATTATTCTTAGGGCAAGACCACCAAATGTAACATATGTCCCCAGTTTGGCCACATCCTTGGGAACATTTGTCCGCTATATCGTGGGTTTGTCCTGGTAATCAGGACCAGGACCCAATACCATCCCAGTAATACATTGTATACTGATCCACTGAGAGGTACGTTTGCCGAGCAGTTTGCTGTGCTACACAAGAGTTTTCCCATTCCTTTCTTGTAATCATTCTTTAACGTACGTGTGCGATTTCTGGAACATATGTTAGGTGAGTATAATATGGATAGTAATTTGGGCGGTTGCTTGCACTCAGGAGTCTATAGGAATGAATGGCATGGCAGAGCAGCTGGGAGCATTTTGACAAGTGGCTGGTCTCACTGAATCGAGGACAGATGAGTAGAGGACTGGGGGTTGGAGGTGCTCTAATATTTAATTATTTTATAGCGCCATCAATGTACGCAGCGCTTTACATATATATTGCACATTCACATCAGTCCCTAACCCTCAAGGGGTGTACAATCTAAGGTCCCTAACTCACATTCATACACACACATACTAGGGACAATTTAGAAAGGAGACATTTAACCTGCCAGCATGTCTTTGGAGTGTGGGAGGAAACTGGAGTACCCGGAGGAAACCCACGCAGGCACAGGGAGAACATGCAAACTCCAGGCAGGTGGTGCCATGGTCATGCAGATATGAGTATATCAGCTAGAAAGGTGCACTTACAATAGTGTTAGAGTCATCTAAGTCAAAGCTAGGGGGTCACAACACAGGAAAACAATGTACTATTAACTTCTTGTTATCAGTAATACATGGGTAATTGAAGAGTTCAATCATTTGGAACTAAATGCCACAAAATTCTTTCCTGAGATTTATCAGGACATCCACAGTGATCTTATATGGGCAGCACAGTGGCTAAGTGGTTTGCACTTCTGCCTGGCAGTGGTCGCCGGTTCGAATCCCAACCACTGCACCACCTGCCTGGAGTTTGCATGTTCTCCCTGTGCCTGCGTGGTTTTCCTCCGGGTACTCCGGTTTCCTCTCACACTTCAAAGACATGCTGGTAGGTTAATTGGCTCCTGTCTAAATTGGCCCTAGTATATGTATGTATGAATGTGAGTTAGGGACCTTAGATTGTACACCCCTTGAGGGTTAGGGACTGATGTGAATGTACAATATATATGTAAAGCGCCGTGTAAATTGATGGCGCTATATAAGTACCTGAAATAAATAAATAAATAAAAATAAAATCTTATACTTATTTCTTCAAATTACATTCATTTTCAATCTTTTTATTAGCAACATTTTTTTTAAATGTATAAATAGACTTAATTCATATTCA